GGAGTCCATCTCCTACTCTTTCCCCAACAGGAGGTCCATCTCCTACTCTTTCCCCAACAGGAGGTCCATCTCCTACTCTTTCCCCAACAGGAGGTCCATCTCTTACTCTTTCCCCAACAGGAAGTCCATCTCCTACTCTTTCCCCAACAGGAGGTCCATCTCTTACTCTTTCCCCAACAGGAAGTCCATCTCCTACTCTTTCCCCAACTGGAGGTCCATCTCCTACTCTTTCCCCAACTGGAGGTCCATCTCCTACTCTTTCTCCAACAGGAGGTCCATCTCCTAATCTTTCCCCAGCTAGAGATGCTTGCTCTAACCCCTTGCCCACAGTAGGACCTCTCTCTGAACGTTGGTCTGTTTTGTTTGCCCCACTCCCCTGTTTCAGGGCCACGCTGTGATGGCTGCAGTGTACCATGTCCTCCGTGCTGAAGCTGTGCTCCGAGTAGCCGGAGGTGACCGAGAAATTCCGAGAAGATGGATGTCCGGAGTCAGGGGAACTACTGCCATTGGGAACCGCACCGTTGGGAATGATGGAGGGCTGCTTCTCATCGTCAGGCCTCATTTCCTTCTCCATCATCTCCCCGTCGGGCTCCTCCACGGACTCAAAGACCTTTCAGTACGAAAAAATACTGATCACCAGGCTGCCAACCACACAGAGTCAACGGGTGCCTTCAATTGACTCGCTCCTCCATCCTTCGAGCCATACCTCCTACTTAATCTCTGCTCCTTGCCCCCCCTCCTAAATGGAATTGAGGTACAGATCAGCCATGATCTTGTACAGGGCGGTCCAAACGGCCCCTGGATTTCACCCACCCACCCGCTTCCCCACTCCCTCCATTTCATCTGGCCCACCCTCTCCCTCCATAACCCATCAATGTTGTGTTATGTTTCTGAAAGAGAAACAGCCTCAACAGCCAAAAGGTTGGACCATCCTGATCTAGTAGAAGGACACAACCTGCTCGAGGGGCTGAACGGCCTCCTCTCCTGTTCCTACGAGTGACCGACCCCCACACGTGAGAAGGAGAGAGGTTTACCTGTGTGCTGGAGCTGGAATCGCTCTGTAATCTCACGTGGTTCTGTCTGTCCGAACTGCAGCTTTGGGAAGACTGGAACAGAGAATGGAGTCACTAATAGCCAAAACAACTGACCGCCATTCTACAGGACTCGGGTTTTGAGAAGGTAAATCTACAGCCTTTTTAAAAAAAAAGCCACTCTCCCCCACCCCCCGCCTCCCCTTCCCCCCACCTCACCTCATTGCTGACTGACGAGTCTCTGTGCATCATTCGCTGCATCTGAGAGTCCAAACTGACCCCCGAGGAGCATTTGGCCAAAGCAGCTGCATGAGTCTCTTTCTCCCTCTGGCGGACAATGGCCTCGCAAGCCATCCACTCGCCTATGGTCTGCTCATAGCTGCTCCGTGTCTGCTCGTCCAGCTGCCGATGGGAAAACAAGAAGAAGTTACCTTTACACAGCGTCTTTCCCAAGGGGCTGGACGGATTTGTACCCGAGCACGAGGCAAGAAAATCCAACTGATATATAATAATCCTGGCAGTTGATACAGCGCCTTATCACGTCTTCGAGACGTCTCAAAGCGCTTCACAGGTTATACTGTAAAGTGGAGTGTGTATTTTGTGGGGGAAATGTAATTACAATGCCAGTACCAGCAGATAAGCTTCCTTTGCTCGAGGGATTCAAACAATCTTTCGATGTGAGACTCGAACCCACAAGCTTCAGATACGGAGGTGAGGGTGTTACCCACTGAGCCAGGCTGACCACCTGAGGTAGGGATAGTTCTCAGTGACCCTCCGGCTGGCTTGTGGGAGGGAGCACTGACCTCTTGCCTCTCCACCAACGTCATTCCAAACTGATAGTGTCCCAGCAGGAATGGCCAGACTTCCTTGCGGATCTCGTTCTGGATTCCCCCGTAGTAAATCAGCCGCAGCAACTCCTGCTCCTCATAGCTCTGCAAGACACGTGAGGAGATCACACATGTGGGTGTCGACCAACAACAACAAGTTGCATTTATATAGCGCCCGTCACACAGGGCAGCATCTCAGGGCGCCTGCACTTAGCGTCTGGATTGAGAACTAAACACTAAGGACCCCGTCTGCCTTCGGGCACATTTGAACTGGTCACAGCATCCAGCTGTTTCTTTACTGATCCCCAGCACGACCAAACCAAAAAACACTCACCAACACATTACATTTACACAGCGCCTTTCACGTCGGGAGGACCTTCCAAGGCGCTGGACAGTCAGCGATTTGCACCCGATCAGGAGGCAAGGGAGCAGGGGAGTGGCATGGACTAGTTGGGCTGAACAGCTTGTTTCTATGCTGTATAAATCTAGTCAACTCCAGGCAAGCAAGGCTTCCTCTGTACACTCAAACCTCCAATACAGTATCAGTGCCAATGAATGGTATTATGCACTTACAGTTTTGTCCTGTAGGAATGTTTGCCAGATCTCCCTGGTCAGCCCACAGTCAGCGTTGGACGGGGCAGCCGGGCTGATGATGGTGTGGTTGACGAGGGCAGACAGGTGAGTCCTGACAGTGGATAGGTGTCTGCAGTAGGCCAGCCCTGCCGGGGTGAAAAACAGGGAATGGGAAACGTTCATTACAGGACGTGCCGGAATTAAACCCCTCATCACTTGGTAGGCGAATGCCACAGGGTAACGACACACAAAAGAGTCAAGAGGCGAATGACTGATTTTATCTGGGGGATGTCGGCCAGGACCTCAGGGGAAAAACTCCCTTCAACGCGATGCCATCAATTACAATGAGAGATCATTTTACATCAAAGTTTAACGATTCAATCCCCATTGACTGAGCGCAAAGACTCGTGGATTTTCAGGGCTCGTGATAGTTAACATCCTCCATTGAGGGACCGATAATAATAATAATCCTTGCATTTGGTATAGCGCCTTATCATGTCGTTGAGACGTCTCAAAATCTCACAGACACCGGCACAATCTCACACTGATGTGGAAAGCTGATGGGTCACGGAGTCAAAGACCCTCCCCCGGCTTGGCCCAGCATTTCTCTGGGCTGCTACCCTGTGCGAGGGGTTCTGTGTAAGTGTTCTCAGGTACATACATCCATAGAAAGCCCTGGACAGAATCTGGTACTTCATGTTGTCACAAAGCATCTTCAGAGGTGCCCTGTGTGAAAGAGAAAACAACACAGTAACACACTAACAGGGAGCAGGTATTGTCACGTATATAAATCCTTGCGTGTGATTTACTACCTTATCATGTTGGGAGCACATCTCAAAGCGCTTCACCTGATTTGCTGCAAATTGCACTGACTGTATTTTGTAGTCAAAAGCAATTGGCAATTTGCGCACAGCAGTACCCCATAAACAGCCATTAAATGAATGATCAATCAGTTTTATCTGGGGGATTGTCGACCAGGATATTGGGAGAGAGAAACTCACTTCTCTTTTCAAGTAGCGCTGAGGGAGCTTTAATATCCGGCTGGACAGACACAAACGGGGATCTAGGTTTAATGTTTCATCCAAAGGACGTCACCTCCAATAATGTAGGTATCACTGGGGAACAATAACAAAAAACTGGGATCAGGAGATACGTTCGGTGCATAGGCGAATAAGTGGAGTTGAAGTTCAGATCAGCCAGGATCTAACAGCATGGCAGAACAGGCTTGAAGGGCTGAATGGCCTACTCCTGTTCCAAAAGAAATGAGGCAGGTTGGCGCCAGGGTTCAGATGATTGAGAGGGGAGCTGGTCTGCAGTGGGGAGGGGGGGGGTCTAGAATTAAATGGATGCTCAGTGCTGGATCTGACCTCTCATGATTGCAGCCATCAGAATGGCCTCCGTCAGCCGCCCCGCCCTGCGAGCACGAGGAACAGGAGGACTTGGAGCTGCTAGATTGCCACATGAGGGGAATCCCACCCCCCTGGGCGTCCATCAGCTCCTGGGTAACTGCAACCAGAGACAGAGGCAGACAATCAATCAATCAACCAGACAATCAATAATAGTCCTCGCATTTGATACAGCGTCTCATCACGTCTTCGAGACGTCTCAAAGCTCTTCACTGAATGTATTCTACAGTGCAGTGACTGTGTATTTTGTGAGCGAAACATGGCAGCCAATTGCGCACAGCAGTGTCCCATAAACACTCGTGGATTGAGTGACCACAATTTTTTTAACGGATTATTAATTACCCCCAGAAAAGCGATCCTCCAATCGACTTACACCCGGCTTCTTATTGCGAGGTAAACAGAGGCGTGTGTGGAGTAGGGAAACTTGCCTAAGGTTTCACCCGGACCGGGAATTTATGTGAACTTAAAAGTCCTAACTTTGCGTGGATTAAAGTCACATCTTTGTGACTCGGTGGTGAGAGCGCGAGTGATCGAGCCGGGCTGACACCCCCAGGAGCCCACTCACCAAACTCCGAGTTGCTTCCCGGGAAGATTATCCTGAAGACGTAATCCGTTGCCTCTTCCTCCTCCTTGTCGGAGTTGGATTCCGCGGAGCCGGGAGGACTCCTCTTCCGGAGTTTCGGGAAGACTTTTCCCTGGTAAGTGAGAAAACATGCCTAAGGTTTTGCCCCTCCCGGGAATCATACTGGTTCCTCTCGCTTGAGAGGCGAGCGGTTCGGTTCTGAATACTGGTTGGAAGTGGAAGCCGGGGGGAGGAATCCGTACCTTGCCTCTCTGTGACCACAGCGGAGGATCAAGCTGCCCCCGAGGTAAGAGCCCGTTCTCCAGGCAGCTCAGGAACGCCAGGAGATGTCCTCCCTTCGGGAAACGGAGCGGGGGCCTCTGGATTCCATCTTGACTCACCAGGACCACTGTGCCACCACTGTCCACTGTGAACACACAAACACGCACGCACACACACAAACGCGCACACACGAACACGCACGCACACACAAAACACGCACGCACACACAAAACACGCACGCACACACAAAACACGCACGCACACACAAAACACGCATGCACACACAAAACACGCACGCGCACAAATACGCATGCACACACATACAAACATGCACACACACACAGAGCAATTAATGCTCAAGAGGATCAAAGGAATCACTGACATTACAGCCACAGGAGGCCTTTGGCGCAATCGATCCCCCATTGATTCTCGCTCCTCTAATTGATCTATCTAGTTGGACCTCAATTCCATGCTCCCCATGACGCTTTGCCAACCACCCGTCACTCCGCAGGCAATGCCTCTGTCCCACAGGGCTCGAGCCAGTCTTTGCCCAAGGGAGGAGGCTGACCGGCTGAGATCAGCTTCCAAAACCAATGAGCTGTGGACATTACTCCCTCCGCCAAAGGTCCTTTGCTGTTCTTCACTACGTCTCGAAGGGAATTGAATTAGAGAATCCAACCCGAGTCCTCTCGTGTGCGAGACAAGCGAGTAAACCACTACACCACAGCATTCCACTACTGACTGAGCCAGGCTGGCAAGTACATGAATGAACAAGTAATGAAACGTCTCTCTCTCACCCTGCTGATGGCAGTGCAGGTACACAATCTCTTCCAGACGGATGGTCATGGCGTAATCCCAATATATACTGAAAAAACAATCCAAGATCAAACCTCACCACCATCACTGCACACACAAGCCATTAGCCCGCCTGCAAAGCTGGTCACTAACAGAGAAGCAAACATCTGAGCAAAACCGAGGGTGGATTCAGTCAACTGAGAACCGATCAAAATCAAACTGAGCTTTCATTCCATGCTCCTTAATTCACTTATTTTCCTGAGTATCTTTCTCCCTCTCTCTCTCTCATTAAACGTCTGGATTGATTCTGCCTGGGGCAACGCATTCTGTCCGCGTTCCCACATCTACTCACCTTTTCTCGAAATCCAGGTCCCCCACTGAGCCGTTCATCAGCTGGTTGGGCGTCCACTTCAAGGTCATGGTGTCTGCAGTCTGGTGGAGAGAGAGATACCCTGGGATGGGCTCCATGTCATCCTTCTGTGGGTAGAAGAGAGCGTTCGGGTTTAATCCGTGGAGTGCTGTAGTGCAGTGATTAACGTGTTCGCCAGAGAAAATGGGACAGTTTTCCCATCCCTAACCCCTTCCCCTCCCCTCGCCCCTCCACCCCCACTACTCACCGGTTGCACCAGGACGTTGTTCTTGCCGTACAGCAGCGTGGCCCGGGAGTTCTGGTGGAAAGACTCCACGTAGTCACGAGCGGAGAGCGAGGACCTGTCCTCCATACTGCCGCTCGAGTGTCGCTTCTGGATCTGGGCGGGCGAGACGGTGGGGTGGGGAGAGAGAGAGAGAGAGATCAGGGGGGAGAGACTGACATTTGACAACTCACTGAATGCCCCGCCTTGAGCAAAACCAGTCACTTACAACCTTTTTTAGTAATTCCCCCCCCACCCCCCACCACCTGGTTTTGGTCGGTTCTTTTGCTCTGACACACAGGTCAGTGTGGCTCGGCTCCCGACGCCCTCGAAGGTTTACTTTTGAGCTCACGGTCTACGCGATGAAGCAAGGGGGGGGTGGGGGGGCACCGGCACAGAGGGCGGAGCAGCCACACACAGAGGGCGGGGCACTGACCCAGAGGGGGCGGGGCTCTGACGCAACAACAACAACTTGCGTTTATATGGTGTCCTTCACGCAGGGCGGTGCCTCGGAGTCAATGGGGGCGGGGCTCAGAGGCAATGGGGGGGTGGGGGCACTTACGCACAGGGCGGGCCGCTTGGTGGGCGAATCCTGACGGCAGTGGGTGCTATGGATGCGATGTCGCTGAACCAGTTCGTCAGCCGAGGGGTCCGTCCAGAAGTGATCGGCCGTCTTCATCTTGGTGTACTCCAGGGCACACGGCCCGACTGGGGGGGCAACCAGAGAGAGCGGGGGGGGGGGGGGGGGGCGGGGGGAGAGGGGGGGCGAGAGACCTCAGTTTAAATTTACGTGCATTTCCTTTCTGAGAAGGTTGACAGCAGTGGATCAACCCGGGAGCAACACAGAGATACCTTCCTCTCCCCCTCCCCAGACGTAAAGCCCCCCCCCCCCCACCCCCACCAGCACACACTGCTCTCACCCAACAGGGAGCCCAGGATGGCTCCGTCCACAGCGTCCATCAGCAGCGCCTCCTTCTCATAGTATTTACTGCAGAGAGAGAGAGAGAGAGAGAGAAAGAGAGTGAGAGGAATGTGTCCGCTCCTCAGTCTGTTGGTTTTCGCTAGAAGAGGTCTCGACGAGTGACTCACTCTCCCATCTTAAAGGTAACTTTCTCAGTTGCAACAACAACAACAAATGACACTGACATGGAGCCTTTCACATCAGGAGGACGTCCCAAGGCGCTGAACTGTCAGGGATTTGGACCTGAGTTGGGATCAGGAGGGTGACCGAAGGCGGGGACGAAGAGGAGGGTCTTGAGACGGGCCTTGAAGGAGGCGAGGGAGGGAGTGAGGCGGAGGGGCTGTGGGATGGAGTTCCAGAGGGTGGGGGCAGAGAGGCTGAAGGCCTGACCGCCAATGGCGGGGGGGGATTTGACGGGGGGAACGTGGAGCAGGCTGAGCGGAAGGAGCGGGACTGGTTGGTATGGGGTTAGCAGCTGCCCTCGGAACCCACCTGCTGTTCTCCACCAGGTGCTGCACGATTTTATCCAGAAGTTTCTCGAAGAGCGCGGTGCGAATCCACAGGTGTTTGAGGGCCTGGGGTGACAGGCTGGGGGCTTTCTGTGGCCTGCGGAGGGGGTCCGGGAGTCCCGAACCCTGGTGCTTCCTGCGGGCAGCAAACACAGCGTCACCAGAGACCGACCGCCCTGACTTGGATACATGTGGGGTGGGAACTCAATACACAAGAGATGGGAAGCTCGATACACATGGGGGTGGGAAGGGAAGTGGAACTCGATACCCAAAGAAAATGGAACTCGATACACAAGGGAAAGGAACTGGATACCCTCCTGCTCACAGACCCTGCCCCTCCTACCGTTACCTGCTGTCGAGCAGCTGCTCCAGCTCCTGTACCCTCCTGCACAGCTCCTCTGCCGGGGGGAAGCTCTTGGACACCTTCATGAACAAGGCCGCGATCTTGTTGCTGCGCAGGAAGCCGGCTGCTCTGCGCCGCAGCCCGTACAGCACGCAGGCCTCCACCGCAGCTACCGGGGGGGGGGGGGGCAGAGAGAGAGAGAGGGCACACGTTAGGCCTGGGGGAGACACAGCACTCACACCGCGGAGACCTTCATACCATAAGACCATAAGACTTAGGAGCAGGAGTTGGCCATTCGGCCCCTCGAGCCTGTGCCCCGCCATCTAATAAGGTAATGGCTGATCTTCTAACCTTAATTCCATTTACCCGCCCTATCCCCATATCCCTAAATCCCTCTATCCTTTAGAAGATCCCTCTATCCTTTAGAAGATCCCTCTATCCTTTAGAAGATCCCTCTATCCTTTAGAAGATCCCTCTATCCTTTAGATACGGCACATTGTGGAGTCCTGTAGTGGTTAGAGCGCTCGTTTCGTAAGCGAGAGGCCCCGGGTTCCTTCCCAGGCGGGGCGAAACCTTAGGCCAGTTTCCTTACGCCACACGCCTCGGTTTACTTAGGGTTAAGTAGGAACCCGGTTGTTAGTTGATTGGGGGAATCACTTTCCAGGAGTAACATAGCCTTCAAAAAAAAAATGTAAAAAATTAAATAAATAGTTTGGTCACTCAATCCACGACTGTTTGCGGGGCACTGCTGTGCGCAATGGGCTGCCGCGTTTCGCCCACAAATTACGCAGTGTGTTCCGTGAAGCCCTTTGAGACCTCTCAACCGACGTGATAAGGCGCTATTGGAAATGCAAGGATAATTATTATTATTATTATTATGTAATTCTCTGCTCTCAACCTCAGTTGTTAACAGTTTTGTGTACTCGGCTGGACAGTGACAGAAGGCAGGGCAGGAGCGACAGGCTGAGACATCTCAAACCATAGCCTGCAATGGTTTCCATGGCATCAGTCAGCCTTGCATTGATTAATGCTGTGAGCTACAAGCTGTTAACCTCACAGCTCACATTCTCGGTCACGCCCGACCCTGGCCTCTGCCCCCCACCCCCACCTCTCCCTCTCCCCCGAGTCGCTTTAACCCCTTCAATGGCCCTCTCTCGCCAATCGAATTGGCCGTGTTATTATTATTCTACTACCAATTATTATTGGCTCTCAAACTCCAATTCAACCCACACGGGCATGACGTAATTTAAGAAGAATAATCCTTGCATCTGATATAACGTCACATCACGTCATCGAGACGTCTCAATGTGTTTCACAGAATATATTGTTAAGTGGATTTGACTGTGCATTTTTGTGGGCGAAACGCAGCAGTCAATTGCACACAGCAGCGTCCCACAAACAGTCATGGATTGAGTGACCCCATTATTTTTATCTGAAAGGAATTATTACTCCCCGCAAAGCCAACCGATTAATAAAATAACCATTCAATACAGCTAACTAGAACATCCAACCGTCTCCAAATGCTTTCTAGGCAAATCGCTCTCACGTGTAGTGACTGTGTATCTCAACTAATCACAGTGGATACTTTGCACACAGCAAGGTGCCCGCTAACATTGAAGGGAGTGGCCAGGAAACCGGGAGAGAAAAACTCCCTTCTCTTTTCCAACAGCATCACGGGATCTTTAATATCCACCTGAACAGGGCACGGACGGGGAGTGAGGTTTAACGTCTCAACCAAAGGACGACACCTCCGACAATGCAACACACCCCCAGCCCTGCATTGGAGCGTCAGCCGAGATTAGGTGATTCCAAGACACGACGTGGGGGTTTGAACCCACAACCTTCTGACTCAGAGGCGAGAGAGAGAGCGAGAGAGAGAGCGACTGAGCCAGACTGACATGTAATGAGGCTTTAATGACCGATTGAATTTTACTTGACTGCAGGTTGTCACAGGAAGGAGACATGTGGAATTATCTTCCTGTTGTCATAAATTGTGGCTTTGAGAATAACATATTCCAATCGTTGCCTTGACAATTCTCATCATTTGGGTTTCCGTGGAAACAAGAGATTTAAGGCGCTCTCTCTCTCTCTCTCTCTCTCTCTCCATCCAGTCTCTAGTTTCTTCACTTCAGGTCCTCTCTTCCTTGGGCCGTTTTAGTAAAGATTTTAATAATAATTCCTATAAATAACAATAGTAATGCTTGCCATTTGATATAGCGCCTTATCACATCGCAAGGCTATCTCAAAGTGCTTTAAGGGATAAACTGTGAAGTGTGGTGACTGTGTGAAGTGAACAGACTTGGTGGAGCAGTCACTGGGGGCAGGGAATCCTCCCACTCAGCTCCTGCAAGCCAAAGCCCTATACACACACACACACGCACGCACACACACACACACACGCACACACACACACACAGTCGCTCTCGTTGCACAGGTCAGATCCAGACAGTCACAATAATTAGAAGCTTCACAGTAACACACACACGGCGAGGTCCATTTCCTTCCCTGAACCAGCCAAGTTATAACACGGTACTCCGAGCCTGTGCTCTGTGACTCAGAATATCTGCCCAGAATGATGGGTTAAACCTATTTACCAAGCTGGAAAATTGCTACTAAAAGCCAGGATGTCAATTAGCCCCAGAGCTCCAGCCAGGATAATCCAATCAGGCATTGCTTTCAGAAGGATCTCATTCCTGAGATCATCCTAACCCAAACCAGTGGCCGACAATCTCTCTCTAATAAAATTACTGCGTCTCCAAACACTTCCTTATCACAGCCAGGAGCTGAGCCCTGACCCCAAAGCTTTGAGAGCCACCCGGGCTGATAGAATCCTAACAATTACCTGCGAGAGACCGACTGTGTGACATTCGGGCTGCACATTCAATCAGTCTGACAGTGTCTAACGGGCGAGCAGCTCCCACAGCACAACCCTAACACGGGACGTTCACTACAATAACGATAATAATAATAATCATCCTTGCATTTGACGTAGCCCCTTATCACGTCATCAAGACACCTCAAAGCGCTTCACAGAATATACTGTAAAGTGGATTGACCTTGTAGTTTGTGAGCAAAATGCGGCAGCAGCCAATTGCACACAGCGGTGTCCACAAACAGTTGTGGATGGAGTGACCATTTTTTTGGGAGGGATTATTATCCCCGGAAAGTGGTCCGTCAATCGACTAGCAACCCGGTTCCTACTTACTGCTGGTAAGCAGAGGCGTGTGGAATAAGGAAACGTGCCTAAGGTATCGCCCTGGCCGGGAATCGAACCCGGTTCCTCTGGTCTGTGAGGTGAGCGCACTAACCACTACGCTACACGACTCCATTGTGTCTAATCAACGCGGCAGCTGTGAACTCAGCCCCTGCGAGTGGCGTCTGTTTACTCACCCGCTCGGTGTGAAGCGATTGTTGAACAGGAGCGGAGACAAGGTCAGAGTTACCAGGGAGCGCATTGAGCTGCGAGGCAACAGCTAACACACAAACCCCCACCATTAGTCAGCCAAGCACACACACATCCTCTCCCTCACACAATCTTTCACACACACCATCTATCACACATACTCACCACAGAAAGAGATGATGTGACTGCTGTCTTCGTGTACAAACTTCCTGGTCACGGCCTCCTCCATGATCTGCTTCACCTGTGGGCAGACGGGGACAGTGGGTGGTGAGGGGCAGCCAATCTGCGGCGCAGCAACGTCCCGCAAACCCCCCCACCTGATGTGAATGACCAGCTTTGTCCGGGGGATTGTTGGCCAGGAAACCGCGAAAGAGAGAGAAACTCCCTTCTGGATCTTTATCGTGCACCCGAACAGGCTGATGAGGGGCTTCGGTTCAACGTCTCATCCGAAGAATGGCACCTCCGACAATGCAAGTCACCCCCCACCCACCCTCACCCCCCCAGCGCTGGAGCATCAGCCTGGACTGTGTGATTCCAAATCCTGATCTGGGGCTTGAACCCATAACTTGGGGGAGGACAAGTTTGCAGAGCTATGAGGAGAGAGTGGGGGAGTGGGGTTGATCAGGGCTATGGGGGAGTGGGGGAGTGGGGTTGATCAGGGCTATGGGGAGAGTGCGGGGAGTGGGGTTGATCAGGGCTATGGGGAGAGAGTGGGGGAGTGGGGTTGATCAGGGCTATGGGGAGAGTGGGGGAGTGGGTTGATCAGGGCTAAGAGGAGAGAGTGGGGTTAATCAGGGCTATCAGGAGAGAGCGGGGGAGTGGGATTGAATTGGAAGCTCTTTTTAAAGAGCCGCCACAGACACGATGGGCCAAATGGCCTCCTTCTGTGCTGTACAATTCTATGATTCTATGAACCTTCTGACTCAGAGGAGAGAGTGCCGCCACACTGACACTCTTGATCTGTTCCTCAGTGATTCCCAGTTTGCATTTCAGAGCTGTGGAGAATTAAACCAGGGCTCAAAATCAAAGTGACAGCTCGGATAGCGAGAGAGAGAGAGAGAGAGAGAGAGAGAGAATGACAAATGGACAGGAGCAGAGGAAAAATCCTCTGAAAAAAAAAACCCACACAGGGAAGTTAGTTGGAAAATAGCCAAAACAAAATGTTTTAATATGGACTAAAACCAGCCTCTAATTTTATGAATCCACTAACGTTTTTAATGCCGAGGTCCCAATCCACCTCCCCTTCCCAGGCGATCGCCGCGAGTCTGACACACTGAGCTGATCTGAGCTCAACGCAGGATTGAGGGAGACTGTAATAGACAGACCGTCTCGGGAAGAATAAATCTGTCACGGATACAATCTCCAGAAACAATCTCCTCGGAGCAGCAAAGAAATAGTTTGTTTTTGCCAGAAGGCAACACGACAAAAAAAAAGGGATTTAACGCTCTTAACTGTACCAGACGAACACAACAACAACTTGCATTTACACCGCGCCCCTCACACAGGGCATGATCTGAAGATGGGGAAGGAAGGGACAAGGCGGAGGAGGAGAGAGTGACAAGAGGTTTGGAGGGTAGAAAAACAAAGCAAAAAAAGCCAGGAGCCATCAGAAGCCATGACAAGTCAAGATGGTGCGATTGTGATTATCTGTGACTGGTCTATGCAGGTTGAGAGCAGCAAATAACATGTGCCAAAGCCTGGAGATGGAATAAGCTCTCACTGAACAGGGCTTCAGGGGCGGTGGGGGGGGGGGGGGTGGAGGGAGGGTAAGTGGGGGAAGAGATAAGAATTTAGTACTTCTGGTCTCTCGTCTCTTTGCTCTTGTTGATGTTGCCGTGTCAACAGGCCACCGAGCGGATGATCCACTCTACAGCCCTCCAATGGTCTCGACTCTTGTCTCTCGGCCCAATGGGTAAGTGATTGTCATTCACATCCTCCCTCACCGCGTTACAGGAACCCACACGTAATTCTAATGTTCCCTTCAGTCTCAGCCAGAAGCTAACGCCCTGGAACTGAGATCCTTATGATCTAAGGAGCCCATTTTGTGACGGGACTCTACGCGAAGAAGCTATTTAAATATGCAACAACAACAAGAATAATGCTCCTTGTATTGGATGCAGCGCCTTACCAACGTAAATGAGCACAAAAGAGAATGGAAAGAAAAACGAGAGGAAAGGTTAGAAACAAAAGGCTGTGGCGAGAGGGGGTCAGGTTGACCGTTTCAGTGACATAGGAAGGCTGGTCAAGTGAGCAGGTGTCATGATGATTGGAGACCCTGCGGAAAGGAGGGAGCAGGGTACAGTTATCACAGTGTTAAACACAGTGCCAGCTAATCTCCTGACTCACACCCTTGGCCCCCACGCCTCCCAACCACACAGACATCAACTCCACTCGAGAGCAAAGCCTCGCGGCAAAACTGTCACCAGTCCCGCAAGGAACAACGAGCGAACGAGCAAACAAACACAGGAACAAAGGCTGAAAAGCCGTTTATCATCAAAGGAAAGGATTCTGAAAACGCGTTAACGGTCTGTTAGGACTCGGCTGGTTATATAACTGCTCAGCTCCCACTCAAAGCTAATCTCATAACCTCGGCACTCACTCACTCCCAGCCACTTCACCTGTCATTGTCTGGGTTAGACTCCAGCTGCTACCCCCAACCTATACACTCTGGGCATCCCCCCCAAGCCTTGGCTCTCGCCAACCTGCGCCTAATAATTTCCGGAATTAGTTAAGCAAGATGTGTCCCTCCAGGGAGAAAGAGAGAGAAAGAGAGAGAATTCTCAGTTGGGTTGGAGACTCTTAAGCAACGGTGATGGGTTTCCGCACGTGTCAGACACACGCACCCGGCCGACCACACCACACACACACGCACAAAAAAAAATT